TTGTTGTGTGTGAGATGAGATCGCCACTGATTCATTCATTAAACCTTTATTTTCCAGGCAAAGCATTAAGAACAGTTTCTTATTTACAATGACAGCCGGGCACATGAGGACTTCAGTGTTCAGGTAATCCACTGAAGAACTTTCATTAAATTTCCAAAATTCACTCACGAGTTCATAGAAATCTTCTGAGAAACAGATCCCATGGACTGACTCAGTGTTGGAAATTTGCCTTTCAGTCGTCATCTGGATAAGAGTGAATAGATCCTGAAGCGCGTGATGCACATTAGTTCATTTAGCTGAGACTCGTTTCCACACCCTGCCTGTTGTCTTGTTTGCTATTGTCTGCCACATCCTTCTGTAATTACACATTGGTAACGAACCCTTTGTGCATTCAGGCATATCTTTCAATGGAAGATGTCTTCCATTCTGACAAAGAAATCCTCATTTTAATCTGAGATGGAGGAGTCCCCTCGCAGGAGGAATTCTCTCATAGTCTTTCCTTATTCTGAAAAGGTTTGGTATTCTTCTGTTTACAGGGCAGCTAGCTAGCATGATTTTATCTTGTATGTATTTTGTGCAACTTGTCAAAACTGGAATGGATGGATGAATGGAATGGATGGATAGATATGAAGACTGCAGTGACCCACACCACACATTTACTTATTGCTAATTTACTGCACCTTGACAGTGTAATGTCCCCCCCCCCACCAGCAGCCCAGGGTGGGGGAGCAATAAGTGAAAGCAGAGCCTTGTCACATTCACCCCAGATGCAGCTGTCGATGTTCAAGCACGGGGCTGAAGCAGACCAGCAAAGCACACAGACACACGCAGACACACGCAGACACACGCAGACACACCTGTGCATGTAGAGAGACCAAAAGCCCTGTGATGTGAGCCATCCTGCCAAATGGGACGGAGCGTCACCTTTGATTTATGTACAGCAGCTGGACAAACGTTGACAAACATGTTAAGTCGTCTACCAGCTAATGGTGTTTTGGCTCTTTGAGGTTCTGGGGTGGAGCCAGACCTTGTGCAACGGGGTGGCCAGACCAGACCCAATGATTTTACTGGCGAGGGGGCGATATTTACTGACTTGGTGGGTGGGGTTCCACCTCAGTATTTTTCCTTGATCGTGAGCATTACCTATTAATCATCTCACGATCAGGTTGGAGACCATGATCTACTGATCGATGTGTTGGGCAGCTCTGGATTACAGAATGAAAAGCTCCACATTGTGTTTTTGTTTTTTGTTGTGGAGTGGCGACCTGGGTGCCTGTCTATTTCCTGGGGGGGGGGGGGGCATGGCCACACCGTAGATCTGCCGTCTTTGAAGTTCACTGTGGTTCCGATGTGACTTGATTCGACTTGTATATAGAAATGGCAACAGAAGCATCCTGATTTCAGACCTGTGATGTGTCAGAGAAGGTTTGTGGACGAGGCAAAGTATTTCACAGCTTTCTCTCTGCTCTCTGCCACAAAGTACCCGTCCCTGGACCTTTCCGGAAAGGAGCGCCTCCACCAATCAGAGCCTCCAGATGAGCCAGCTGGGCGAAGAGGCTGACAATGGAATTGCTTAGAAATGAAGTCCAGATGTGAAATGCTTTGATTCCACCGATCATCCAACCATTCATCCGGGTCAGGGTTGTGAGGGGGTGGGGGGTGCTGGAGGCTGTCCCAGGCAGCACAGGGCAGGGGGGCCCTGGACAGGATGCCTGTGTATAGCAGGGCACCATGGGCCGCTTAGAATCGCCAGCTGGCATGTCTTTGGGCTGTGGGAGGAACAACGTAAGTGGAACATGCAAACTCCACATATGCCTCTGTGCCACGTCAGTCATGACTGTGTCAGCCTTGACTGTGTCAGCCATGACTGTGTCAGCCTTGACTGTGCCAGCCATAACTGTATAACTAATTCACATTATACAGATGTTTTGATCTTGATCTTCCATTGCCGTATAATTCTGTTTTACTAGTCTTTGGTATTGTGTATGAGTCTATTGGATCGATCGATCCCTTTACCAGTACCACTCATTCAGTACTGGGTTGTGTTGCCCCATATTTTACTCGGTAAACTTAATTCTTTACTTGTCCACATTTTGTTGGGTGAATGAACAAGGCCTCTACAATTCCGATGGAAGAGTCTCTTTAAAAATAAAAAGCACAGCCTTAATTGCTCTTACAGTAAGTATTACATTTTTGCTTAATCCCTCAAGGAGCCGTTTCACCGTGACGGTATTGTGCTTCATTTTATGCCCCAGGGGGTGTCATTGAAATATTTCAGGCTTTGTGTGTCGTGACTAACCGTCATGACAAATTTTGCGGTTCTCTTTGATGACAGAAGCAACATCTGCGGTACGTAATGTTTCACCAAGTTCTGTGTGTAGTGACCAACGTCCATTAAATAACCAGTGTAATATGGTGTTTTCACCAGTGCCAAATTTGTGCAAAAGCGGAAAACTTAAGACCGAAATGCCTTGATGTGTCCCTAAAAAACATCACAAAGGATGTTCGACAAAAGCCCAGGAGCACATTCCAGGATCGGATCTAGGGAAACGTTACAAGGAAGATCAGCAGGCTATCTGAACGTGAGGCGAATGTGCACAGATAGGGGTGGAGAGCCCTAAGCATTACAGTACATCTACCAAGAATGCAGAAGGCATCCAGGAAACATATATATATATATATATATATATATATATATATATATATATATATATATATATATCAATCAGTTCGGGAGAATAGACAGACAGACAGGTCTATGTTAACTGAAAATGCTTTAGATAGATAGATAGATAGATAGATAAATAGATAGATAGATAGATAGATGAACATTTTAAAAGCAATAATACATATAAATTAAGGGTTCACTTACTTTCACTCAGGACTTTACACGAGGAATGTTTGGAATATAGAAACACTTTGTACAGTATCAGGGAATTTTTGAGAAATATTCGGTGTAAGCTGGAAGCCTACCTGAGATTGCCACCACCAAGGGGGTCTTCACCGACAGCAAGAGGAAGGACCCACTGGGACAGGGTTGAAACCTAGAGGGGGTGTGCACCAAATCTGATTGGCTGCTGGTGATGAAACTGGAGAACGGCAGCCCGAATCTGGCCACTGACCCCTCTAGTACTGATTCAGGACTAGACCCCAGACCCTCCTTCTAGTGTTGGCCAAAACAACGCTTCACAAAACATTTGCTGTATTTTCTGACCTCGCTGCCCTGACTATTTCCTAGGCATTGATTTGTTGTCGAGCCCTTATGAACTTTAGGAATAGATCTGACACTCCAGATGCAATAGCCGGTGCAGTGCTGCCAGTCAGCATGAGCCTGCAGTTCAGCGCTTGTAAATATGACGGGCCGGCGGCTCCGCATTTCCTGTTACTAGGGCTCGTATCCACGTGGCCTCGCATCATCCATCACGGATGGCCGAGTACGTCTTAATGACCCATTAACCCCTTTCATCAGCAAATCTACCGCAAAAAGAGAAAGAAAAACAAGCGCACCGTAAAAGACCCCAATACGGTCAAGCGGATAAAGAGGCATCCAGGAGGTTTCTAAACCTTCATTTATTTGCTCTATAAAACGTCTAGTGTGTCGAGTAGGAGTTTCCTCGTCGCAGCTGTTTCTACAAGAACAAATCAAACCCTCCAGTTTCTAGTGATAAACATATGACCTGCGCCAATAACGAGATGCGTTGCCTCACATTAGCCGCTTCAAAGGCGAGTCGTGGTACGGCACGGGCCGATTGCCCTGCATTGCGAGTAAATCTGTAACTACAAAATAAAGCGTATTCAGTCAACTTTGAAAACGCGCCAGTTCACATGAAATAGTTTCGGCAAAACGAGCAGTGTTTTATTTGGTCTTGGGTGTATGGAGTTTGGAATACCAATAACCAGCGATAGCACAAAAATCTTTTATCAGACTCCGTATAAATGTACCAATATGACACTGAATATAAATTATATATGACCAATTATTACCAATATTACCATCGCAATTATTATTATTATTATTATTATTGGGCCTATTATTGTTATTATTAAAAGCAAGCGTTAACGCGGTTTAAGTGCAGCTATTACTTGGGCGATGCCGTTTCCCCAATACACATGGGCAAACAGAATGAAGTCCTTACATTTAACAGGCGTGTAATGGCGCATAATTCCAGGCGCACCCCGGGCGACGAGGGACGCAGAAACTCAGACAGCACGGAGACGTAGTGACAGTATCGCAGTATTTTAGCACAGTCACTATGACAACAGCATCGCGGAGAGACGTACTGGTGAATCGGACTCCCTGTTCCTTCCAAAATAATTACAGACCCTTTCGCCCCGAGCAACTTGCATAATAAATTAACTGTCCTTTTGACAATTCGCTTATGAAACGTGATTACATTCTAATTCATATGGTGAACAAATCTAATCGTCATGCAGAATGGATAGGCTACAAACCGACCACACAGTATTGCGGAGTTTTTTTAAAAATTACTATTTATTGAACTATATGAAGATTTATTTTACATTGAAGTGTTAATTAAATACTTGCAATCTGCATTAAACTTACCTCATTAACGCCATTTTCAAATCAGGTAGAGCGAAGCCAACTATATACACTATCCAACGACAAAAAAAAAACATTTTACATTAGCGATTTCACATTTACACGTATCGATAGGCACTGTGTTTTGATTGTTAACTATCATATTTGTATACATCATTATTCATAAAGGTTTTGCGGGAGCCGCCCTCCGGGGCACGAGCGCGGAGCAGAATCGAACAGTGGCTCGTGCTCTGCTTGCGGCTCCGAGGCGACAGCGCTGCTCTCTCTCTCTAAAAACTTCCTTCATTTTTAATGTCAGCTTAGGCTCAATGAAAAGTCTAACTTGCATAAATCAATTTTGTGCATTACGTGTTTATAAATTATTTACTTTAACATATTTCTAAATTTAGAATAACTATTTTTTTTTGCAGATAAAAATCGAATTGCAATGGAAACCGGTGTAGTACTGTTATTAGCTACGAATCCTAGTACTGGAAGGCTAGTCTAATAGTGAATTACATATGAATTACAATCATTAATTATAATTACCAGTGTTATCGTCCATATCCGGTTATTTCTTCCTGGTGATATTATTGTGGTGCAGTGGTGGCTTGATGGTTAGGGAAGCGCACTTATAATTGAAAGATTGCAGGTTCGAATCCCCCACCAGCCAGTCACCACTGAGGTACCCTGAGCAAGGTACTGTCCCCAAGCACTGCTCCCCGGGTGCTGAATTAGCTGCCCCCTGCTATGTCACGAAAGTCACATATGGGTCAAATGCAGAGGACACATTTCGTTGTTGCGCACTGTGTGCTGTGCTGTGGTGTGTTAACAATGACCACTGATCACCAAATTCTATTGTATCTACCAGGCATGAATGTACAGTGGTACCTCAGTACTCGAACTGATTAGAACTCGAATTTCTTAAAAGTCGAACCAACCAGTTCGGAAAAAAAAGGACCTAGAACTCGATCTGAATCTCAGAAGTCGAACCGTGAACACTGACCTAAGATAACTTGTACGCCTGGGGAAATGAGTCACTCAGCCACACGTGTCTCTGCGGAAACAAAGGGTAACGCTTCAGTCAGCCTCGCATTCGCTGTGATAGCATCATTTGTTGGTGATAGTGCTTTTTTATTGAAGATATCAGGTGATACACTGTACTTCATATCATTTTGGTAGCCATTGTTCACCAAAAAGTTACGCAATAGTTGTACAAATGTTACAACCTAAAAATTTGCGATTTACGAACAAATTAACGAATACAGAGTAATAATAAAAATAAACAATGGACCGCATGGCATAGTCTAGTGTTGGACGCAGTGTTGGGGCATGTTCTGGGGTAGTGTTGGGGTACATTCTTTATTGTTTTGGAAGCTATTAAGAAAAAAATGTTACACACGGCGTATAGTGTTGGCGCACAGTGTTTTTAACTTTACACATTGTTTGGATACATTTATTTTCTTACTTCACCAATTACTGTTTTGATAAATGTGCTTAGATATGTTTAGTATATGCTTTTTTTGTTTTATCCTGTTCATTTTGTGTTTAAATGCTAAAAAAATGGACTTATTTAGGTGTAATTTTTTTGGGGCCAGGAACCAATTAATTGGTTTTCCATTATTTCTTATGGGGAAAATTCGATCAGAACTCGAACTTTTTAGGATTCTAACCCTAGTTCTGAACGGATTAAGTTCGAGTTCTGAGGTGCTACTGTATTTGATGAAATACATGTTAATTCATTCTACTTTGTGAATACCCTGTAATGATAGCGAACTTAATCGTTATTAAAATAGGAATGAAGTGCTATTGATCTCTTTCGCATGTGGAGAGACTATGGAGCAAAGAGGGTATGTAGGCTAATGAACCTGCATGACAATAACAGCCCTGTATGATGTCCATGTCAGGAACTGCATTTAATGGCCAGTGGTTCTCAACCTTTGGCAACGTGACCCAATCTTTACCATGCCAGCTCGCGACCCTATATCAAGTATAGGTTTAAATTAACGTTATGATCAAGCACGCAGTGCACTCTGCAATTTACGCCAAACAGTGCCTATCGCACAAATCTGACTGGATGTGACAGTGAATTTTAAATTAAATATCAGTCTTGGATTGGTTGAGTGTTCACGAGTTTTGCGCTGACCAGTTGCAAACATAAGACACATTCATATAGGCTAATTCTAGGATCGGTGCTGGGAAATCTGGATCAGCATAGGAGCTTGCTGGTTTTAAAATGCTTACATTTCCAAGTCTGGCTTGCGACCCTTTCATGACCCATATTTGGATGCCGACCCACAGGTTTAGAATTGCTGCTTTTGCCTTCTTGTGTAGTTGTATACACACACACACAATGTGTAAAATCTATTCTTATTCATAAAAACAGAATGAGGGACATGTGTGGAACAGTAAGGAAAATGTGGAGCTCACGGCTTTGAACCCAGTGATGCATAGGTGAGGGTGAGGATGTGCAGCCAGGGCATGCAATTAGGTCATGCAGAGGGAAGGGTGAGGATGTGCAGTTAGGGCATGCAGAGGTGATGGTGAGGATGTGCAGCCAGGGTATGCAATTAGGGCATGCAGAGGGA